TCCTTCTTCATGACTGGAGTGATGGCTTTGCGGATTGTGTAGTCGGAGTAACCATTAGCCCTGAGAGCCTGGTGTATGTGCTTGAGTTCACTGGTAATGTGTTCCTGGTCGGAAATGCATTGGGCTCTATGGTATAGAGTCTTGATGAGGGAGTTCTTCTGGGATGGTTGGTGGTGGGAATCTGGTTCAAGTAAACATCTGTATGGATAGCTTTCCTATAGACAGAGTGGCTCATTGAACCATCATGTCTCCTTTTAATTATGACATCCAAAAAGGGTAGTTTGCCATCTTTTTCGACCTCCATGGTAAATCTGTTGGCTGGGTGTATGGAATTGATGTGGTCGCGGAATTGGTCTAGAGCAGGCTGGCCATGTGGCCAGATGACAAAAGTGTCATCCACGTACCTCTTCCATAAAGTTGGGCGTAGAGTGGCAGTCTGGATGGCGTCAGTTTCAAATTTTTCCATGAATACGTTGGCTACAACCGGAGATAGGGGGGAGCCCATTGGGGTGCCCTCAGTTTGTTTGTAGAAGTTCTATTACAGGAACACATAGGCAGTGAACTCAAGCACGTACACCAAGCTCTTAAGGCTAATGGTTACTGCGACTATACAATCTGCAAAGCTATCACTCAAACCATGAAGAAGGACCCTCTTGAGGAGCCTTTCAAAACCATCACTTTACCCTACATTGCGTGGATCACAAAAAAGATCTCCAAAATCTTGAATAAACACAAGATCCAGGTCCGATGCAACACATTACATTAAATCCGTGTTCTGGTTCCGTCTGTAAAAGATGTGATTCCGGACATACAGTACCCTGGTGTCTACAAACTAAGTTGCCTCTGTGGTTGTAGTTACATTGGAGAAACCAAACGACAAGTCTCGGACCGCATTCGTGAACACAAAGCAGACCTTAAACATGGTAGGACCAACACCTCGGCCGTGGCAGATCACTGTTATAATTCAGTAGGCTCACATGACATTGACTTCTCTGAGAAGATGGATTCTGGCTTAGCAATCATTGGAAGGATTTGATAAACCATTTCGGGTCTTAATTGATTGTTCACGCTTACGGTGGCTTTCAGACAGCATACATTAATTTTTCGTCTCCCCCCTCCTCTTTTCTGAATGTAGATGGACTCGTCTATCTAAACAAACTGTCAAATCGCTATCCGTGGCCCTAACGTTTAAAAATAAATAAATACAAACCACCACTTCTTTCAAATGTTCTAGCCGTTGGTTTTCACACCTGATGATGACTGCTTGTGTTGCAGTCGAAACGTCGTGAGAATTTTATCGTGTTATATATATTTTATTATTTTATTGTTTCCCTTCAACGTGACTTTACCGAAAGAACCAAGAATATGAATCACTGCAGTCACGAAAACTTTAAATCAAAATGGTAACACCTGTTTTATTGCCAGAAAGGGTAAAACCTATTCCTAACTCCCCCATTACTGACACAGTGGTGTAGGCGGTCTGCATCCTTCAACGGTTTCACGCAGGGGCTGTGGCTTTAAACTAAAATCAAAACAATTGCTCCCTCGGAGACTTTCGTTATGAACGGACGCGAAAGATTCGGTGGCTTGCACTTTGCTGGTGTCGGCGTGGCCTGGCCTGGCCTGACTGGAAAAACACCGGCGGTTACGTGCTGCTACTGCTGCTGTCGTTGTGTAACCACGCAGATGCGGAGAACCACGCCTGTGGGTCTGATGACTTTTTGCCGCTGTATGGGTGCAAGAAATAACTCTCGCTTGAGGTGACCGGGGCGGCTCCGAGGGCACTGGGGCGCTGAGTTTGCACTGCTGAGATCCTGGGTTTGAATCCGGATATCGGCCTCCCGTGATTAAAACTGGGATTCTCAAACATCGGGTTTGTCGTTCTCTTCCCGGTCACCAATGGACTGCGCACGGGGGGAAAAAACCCATCAAAATAATGTTGGTTTCCAATGAATTTGGCAAAATTCCAGCTCTAATAATTAGGTTTGACTACCATGCGAACAACACCACCCTCGCTTAACAGAGCGTGTTGTGGGAAAGTAATTTGAAACGAGTTGTAACTATACGCAGCAATCCTCGTCCCAACTCTGAAACTATTGCACACCGTCACTGTGAAACACAGCAGCAGCACCTTTGTGGTGAAGGCCTTGCGCTATAAGAGTGCCGAGAACACTGAACGTGCTAAACTACGATTGATAATTATAAATAAAGTCCGATTGAAGTATGTATATATGTTGAACTTCTTTCGCACCGTACATACCCAACCACGCTAATCGGAGGTGCAGGGAAGGGACAACAAACCATGCAACCATGGGGAGAACATGCAAACTCCAAATATACAGGCGTCAAGATTGGGATCGAAGCCATGACCTCCTGTATACCAAGCGAAGTAGTTAACATCTCGCCACCGTGGAGTCAAACTGGGGAAGTGAGAAATAATGCAACAATATGACTCTGAAGTGTGTGGCGTCCTTGCTGGAGCTTGTGGAGGTTGTGACCATTACTTCACATTCCGCAGCTCGTTAAAAACATCTCAATGAGTGCACAACTCAGGGCGGTCCATAATGGCCGTGTTGGAGGCGCATCGAGCAAGCATCGCCAGCATCACACCGCGGCGACACGGGCGGGGTTTTGGGTGACTCGGTCGGAGGAAAATACATTTGGGATGCCTTGACTTAGTTCGGTACAACCTTAAGGGATTCATCTCATTCATTATCTGAAACCCAGTGTGCCTTTCTGTTCCGTAAATGCGCTCTGCATCCGGGTAGATGACACTGTGGGTAAAACACGCAACCCACCATCAGAAGAAGTTCAAATCTTGGTCTGGGATCAACCCTGCCCATCATGTCTCCGGGGTCAATAAAATTAGTACTGCATTGTGGGAAGTCGTCAGTAGCTGGTTTATGAAGGGACTGGCCCTGCCATAGTAATCTATAATGGGCACCATTGGCTCAGTGCTGCCAATTAAGATGAGCACTACACCCCTCTTGCTTCATTGAGCTAACGACTGTGCCACCGCTCCCAACAAAAGACAAATATCCCCTGTACAGCCTTTAACGGATTGTTGGGGCAAGTGCTGTTAGCGAGCACCTATGAAGGCTGGCACAGCACCACGCCCGGCCGCCTTTGTCTCCCCAGTGGCGATGTTTACACACTGCACCAGGCACTGATTTGAAGCTAAGTCGACCTATGGAAGGCCCAGAACAGGTTCAGATACTCGTCATTGGTGTTGGCCGTGAGTGGGAACCGAACTTGGGTCGCCAGGTTCATAGCGCAGCGCACTGACCACTACACCGTGTATGTACGTTGAACTTCTTTTCGCACGTAGCCAACCATGCTAATTGGAAGTGGGGGGAAGGACAACAAAATAAACACACTACCGCTCACCACAAAGATCAAAGATCCCCCTTACAGCCCCAAACCACTCACCACACACACACTTACAAACACCCAGCAGGGCCACCTTCAGGCTGCCGGCAGCTTCAACTTTGGAGCGAATCCTTGTTTCCGTCTCGTCGTTTGTCCTGTACGCTAATGGGTGTCATTTAAACCTTTGCTCAGCGGGAGGTCACCTACGGTCTGGATCGCCCTCCCCCCTGCCCTCTGTGCTGTCGACTCCCTGCCCCTGTTCAAGTCTGGGCTCAAGGCCTTACTGTTTTCCTCAGCCTCTGACCTTCTGCCTCTCTCTCTGCCCAGTAAACATGGCCACTGTTTCTGTGCCGCTTCTTGAGATTAAGTTGCTGTTAGACTCCGTTTTATAAATTCACACCGCATTTTATTGGCATCGGGTCATGTGACGATACATATCCATTGTGAACTCTGTATTGTGACATCACATCAGAACGGTTGCTGAAGAGCCTCTTATAGAACTACTTCGGAGGTCAATTCTATACGGCTTCCAATCCACGTTCGGGACACAGATTTTAAATGCCCCGCAAATTGTATCTGTCACGAATGAAGGCACAAAGCAAATGCAGTAAGCCGCGGTAATTCTTATACAGTTAGTGACTACGCTGAGATCATTAACTCGCTACACCCACACGCACGGTTGTATCACAGGAGGGTGGGGAGGGCGCCAATCACGAACTCAAACTCAGGAACCTCAGCGGTGCCAAACCAGCGCTGCCCGTGCGGTCGTCCTGATCTCCCTGAGCTCGTCACAAGAACTCAACGCATTCACCGAGACCGATATGGCCCTGAGAGGACATTTAGTGAAAGGTGACATTTCGAGCATTGTCCGTTCATCCTACATCAATGCGCTATGAAGAAGGGCCGCTGCCCGAAACATCGGCAATATGTATAATTATTTCAGGGCCACGGTGTTTTTGTCTGTCGTTTGCCCACTGCTGGCGACGCAGCCGGTGACGTGCGCATTTCATTTGACTCGTCAAGTGTGCGCAACAAGGCTGGGCCTCTCTTCATCGCGCGCACTCTCACAAGCTCATTCACACTCCTCTGAGCAAACACAGCCATGCAACCAACCCATACACACCTCGGGGCCTGCCCTCACTCCCTGCACAGCTCAGCCCTGCCCTACCCTGCCCTGCCCCACTCCGCCCAGGTCTCAAGTCCCCACTCGCACAGCCACAGAGCCACCTTTACCCTCCCCGCTGCACGTGCCCGGGCATGCAGGCCCCGCACATGCTGTGTGCGGTGGTGTGTGTGTGCACGTGTGTGTGTGTGGGAGCGGTAGTGTAGCGGTTAGCGCACCGCGCTATGAACCCGGTGACCCGAGTTCAATTCCCTTTCATGGCCAACACCATTGACGGTCCTGGGCCTCCCCTAGGTCGACTGAGCCTCAAATGAGTACCTGGTGCGATGTGTAGACATCGCCACTAGGGAGACAAAGGCGGCCAGGCAAGGTTCTGGCCACCCACCCCCTCGCGTGCCGTGCTAGCCTTCATAGATGCTACTCGCTAACGGCACCCGTCCCAAAAGTCTGTCGAGGCTATATCTCTGTCTTTTGTGCGTGCGTGTGTGTGGCATCCGTCCGTGTGCAGGGAAAGCTGGTGTGCTACTTCAGCCAACAGCTGACCTACGCGAGCCGTGTGCCCCGCGAGGAGCGCCGCTCTGGCCCACAAGGCTACCCACGGCTCGGACACTGGCTGCGGCTCGTCGGCCTACAGCTTCCCATGGCACAGGTGACTGACTCTTGCGTGGGTGGAGAGCCTCGCGCCCCCGCCCACCGCCCCCCCACGTGGCGTCCGCTTTCTCTGGGAGGTTTGCTGGAGCCCATGCTGCCGCTTTCACGTAACCAGGTGTGGTGATTGACGGAAGGATCCAACAAAAAAAACTCAACTAAACAATTTTTTTGCTTTACCAGGTAAGGCCCACTGAGCTATGTAGCTCTTTTTCAGAAGCGACAAATGATAGCCCAACGAAGTGGCTTATCACGTGGAAATTTATAGCAGCAGCCAAATACTATAAACGCGTGTTGATTTTAACTGTGCAGGGAAAAACCAGAGGACCCAGAGAAAAATCAACACGACCACAGGGAGAACATGCAAACTCCAAATATACAACAGGCGTCAGGTTTCGGGATTGAACCCACGACCTCTGCCATACCAGGCGATGTTGTCAACATCTTGCCACCGTGCCGAAAGATCGTTGGCCATGATCTATCCACCACTGGATGAAGGTCTTTCCGAGTTGTCGGCATCTCTCACGGCCTCGCGATGCCACGTGTCTCGCTCCTACGTGCGAACCGATCTCATCGCTCCGTCTCCGTGGCGGACGTTCCCTAGAGGGGTCGTTGTTCTTTTGCGTGTTCCCTACTTTCAGCCGCCCGTCAGCCGGCGTGTCGTGGAAGCGATGCTGGCGGTTGCAGTGGGCACCCGCTGTAGCCGTGGTGTTTGAATCTGCATCACAGGGTGAATTTCCCCTGTGTTGTCGCGACACCAGATAGCTGCCAGAGCGCCCTCTAGTGGTGACGCTGTTGAGTCACGATTGCCTCACGAATGACAGCGTTGGTGTTAATCGTGCGTTTGTTTATTAATCCAACCAGCATGGGGATTGGCAGAGAGCTGACAAATTATCATACAGAACCGTACTGACGTCATCGCCTGCAGTGGTTTATTTCCCAGGCTGTCGCCTGGGAAATAAAATGCAGACCGTGCAAAATTGCATTTCAGATATTTTCCCCCCAGGGGCAAGGGTGGGGAGCATTCTAAAAATGCCACCAACAGCACCAGGTGGCACGGGTGGTAGTGGCGGCAGTGCTGACTCTCGCGCTTCACAGCCAGAAGGACCCGGGTTCGGTTCCCGGCTCGGGTGCCTTTCTCCGCGGAGTTTGTATGTTCTCCCCCCTGTTCTGCCATGGGTTTCCTCTTGAGTTTTCCAGTGTTCTGCCATGGCTGGTGACAACACACAATGTCACTGATGTTGGCCAAATATCCCAACATTGAAAAAAATACCTGTAATTTATTCAATTTGGATTACACATAGCAGCAACTGGGCAAGACCCTCCTTCAAACGACTTGAGGGTCAGAACGGCTTTCCTGGGTACACTATTGCAATTATAATAATTCAACTTTAGTCGAGTTCTTTCCCCTGGCTGCCATGCAATCGGCCACCAATGGGTGATCTTCAGGGCTAGGGTCACGATATTTTTAAATTAACTACTCAAATTATTATTACCAAGGAAAACCACACCAAGTGTGAAGAAGCCAACACCTATTAGGTTTTCAGCAATGGGGAGAAAACCAGAAAACCTGAAAGGAAACCCATGCAGAACAGGGGGAGAACGTACAGACTCCACACGTACACACTCCCCACATACACACTTCAAACGTACACACTCCACACGTACACACTCCACATGTACACACTCCACACGTACACACTCCACATGTACACACTCCCCACATACACACTTCAAACGTACACACTCCACACGTACACACTCCACATGTACACACTCCACATGTACACACTCCACACGTACACACTCCACACGGCAAGGCGCCCGAGTCGGTAATCGAACCCAGGCACCTTTCTGAGGCGCGAGAATCAGCACCGTCGTCACTGCCACCCGTGCCACCTGGTGCTGTTGGTGGCACTTTCAGAGACCCCCCCACCCTTGCCTCCTGGGGGCGAAATATGTGAAATGTAATTTTGCACAACCTGCATTTTCTTTCCCAGGCGACAGCCTATGTCGTCTACCACTGCAGGCGATGACGTCAGTACGGTTCTGTAAAATCTTTGTCAACCCTTTGGGTAAATGGATGGCCAGGTAGGTCGGTGGATATCAAGTTAGCAAGGGAAGTAGGATGGTAGTTGCATGGGTAAGCACACAGGCAGCTGATTAAAGTGGTGACTAGGTCGATAAGTAGGTAGGTGGTGGGTAGGTAGGTGGGTTGATAGGTAGGTGGGTAGGTAGGTGGGTGGGTCAGTGGGTAGATGGGTGGGTAAGTAGTTGGGTAGGTAGGTAGGTCAGTAGGTAAATCGGTAGATAAGTGAGTAGTTGGTTAGGCAGGTGGCTGGGTAGGTACAGTGAGGGAAAAAAGTATTTGATCCCCTGCTGATTTTGTATGTTTGCCCACTGACAAAGAAATGATCAGTCTATAATTTTAATGGTAGGTTTATTTGAACAGTGAGACAGAATAACAACAACAAAATCCAGAAAAACGCATGTCAAAAATGTTATAAATTGATTTGCATTTTAATGATGGAAATAAGTATTTAACCGCTCTGCAAAACATGACTTAGTACTTGGTGGCAAAACCCTTGTTGGCAATCACAGAGGTCAGACGTTTCTTGTAGTTGGCGACCAGGTTTGCACACATCTCAGCAGGGATTTTGTCCCACTCCTCTTTGCAGATCTTCTCCAAGTCATTAAGGTTTCGAGGCTGACATTTGGCAACTCGAACCTTCAGCTCCCTCCACAGATTTTCTATGGGATCAAGGTCTGGAGACTGGCTAGGCCACTCCAGGACCTTAATGTGCTTCTTCTTGAGCCACTCCTTTGTTGCCTTGGCCGTGTGTTTTGGGTCATTGTCATGCTGGAATACCCATTCACGACCCATTTTCAATGCCCTGGCTGAGAGAAGGAGGTTCTCACCCAAAATTTGACGGCACATGGCCCCGTCCATCGTCCCTTTGATGCGGTGAAGTTGTCCTGTTCCCTTAGCAGAAAAACACCCCCAAAGCATAATGTTTTCACCTCCATATTTGACGGTGGGGATGGTGTTCTTGGGGTCATAGGCAGCATTCCTCCTCCTTCAAACACGGCGAGTTGAGTTGATGCCAAAGAGCTCCATTTTGGTCTCATCTGACCACAACACTTTCACCCAGTTGTCCTCTGAATCATTCAGATGTTCATTGGCAAACTTCAGACGGGCATGTATATGTGCTTTCTTGAGCAGGGGGACCTTGCGGGCGCTGCAGGATTTCAGTCCTTCACGGTGTAGTATGTTACCAATTGTTTTCTTGGTGACTATGGTCCCAGCTGCCTTGAGAACATTGACAAGATCCTCCCGTGTAGTTATGGGCTGATTCCTCACCATTCTCATGATCATTGCAACTCCACGAGGTGAGATCTTGCATGGAGCCCCAGGCCAAGGGAGATTGACAGTTCTTTTGTGTTTCTTCCATTTGCGAATAATCACACCAACTGTTGTCACCTTCTCACCAAGCTGCTAGGCAATGGTCTTGTGTACAATCTTGTCCCTGACATCCTTGGAGAGCTCTTTGGTCTTGGCCATGGTAGAGAGTTTGGAATCTGATTGATTGATTGCTTCTGTGGACAGGTGTCTTTTATACAGGTAACAAGCTGAGATTAGGAGCACTCCCTTTAAGAGTGTGCGCCTAATCTCAGCTCGTTACCTGTATAAAAGACACCTGGGAGCCAGAAATCTTTCTGATTGAGAGCGGGTCATATACTTATTTCCCTCATTAAATGCAAATCAATTGATAACATTTTTGACATGCGTTTTTCTGAATTTTTTTGTAGTTATTCTGTCTCTCACTGTTCCAATAAACCTACCATTAAAATTATAGACTGATAATTTCTTTGTCAGTGGGCAAACGTACAAAATCAGCAGGGGATCAAATCCTTTTTTCCCTCACTGTAAGTGACGAGGTAGGTAGCAAGGTAGGTAGGTGGATGGGTAGGTGGGTAAGTGTGTGGGTAGGTGAGTGGATAAGTGGGTAGGTAGGTAGGTAGGGAGGTTATAAAAATGTAGGACATATTTGATACAGGAGTGATATTTACATTTCTTCATTTTCTGAGGTTTTCAGATGAGAAAAGTTTAATGAAAAGAAATCGAGATGGTGGCGACTCACTCTCGTTCCCTGGAAAGTAGTTCATAATTATTTCAAGTGAGCAATGCTTGCAATTCAGATTGTATTTTCAGCTAACTACCCGAGGGCTGAGATTATTTTGTAATGTTTGTTTCTGAATTCGATAAGCGCCGTCGTCCACCCCACTGGTGTGCTGTTCCCCGGCCGTGGGACAGAGCACCCTGGCACCCAACTCCGCTTGTGATTTGGGGACGGTGGCAGTGTTTAAACCCAGCTGTGTTCGTGATTCAGAGATGTTGGCAGTGTTTAAACCCCGCTTTGTTCGTGATTCAGAGATGGTGGTGGTGGTTAAACCCCGCACCGTTCGTGATTTAGAGACAGTGGCAGCGTTTAAACGCCGCTCCACTCGTGATGTCAGAGAGGGTGGCAGGGTTTAAGCCTCGCTTCGTGATTCAGAGAAGGTGGCAGTGTATAAACCCCGCTCCGTTCGTGATTTCACCGACAGTGGCAGTGTTTAAACCCCACTCCATTCGTGATTTCAGAGACGATGGCAGTGTTTAAACCCCGCTCTGTTCGTGATTTCAGAGATGGTGGCAGTGTTTAAACCCCGCTCTCTTCGTGATTTAGAGACGATGGCAGTGTTTAAACTCCGCTCTGTTCGTGATTTAGAGAGGGTGGCAGTGTTTAAACCCCGCTTTGTTTGTGATTTCAGAGATGGTGGCAGTGTTTAAACCCCGCTCCGTTCATGATTTTGAAAGGGTGGCAGTGTTTAAACCCCGCTCTGTTCGTGATTTCAGAGATGGTGGCAGTCTTTAAACCCCGCTTTTTTCGTGATTCAGAGATGGTGGTGGTGTTTAAACCCCGCTCTGTTTGTGATTTCAGAGATGGTGGGAGGGTTTAA